TATTTTAAAGTTTTCGGGTGTAAATATTTTATTTTGAATGAAAAAGATACCTTATGAAAGTTTGATACAAAATCCGATGAAGGAATTTTTCTTAGTTATTCTTCTATTTCAAAGGCTTTTCGTATCTTTAATAAAAGAACTTTAGTTATAGAAGAATCTATTCATGTTGTTTTTAATAAAATTTTTGAAGTTAAGAAAAATGATTTTGATGATGATCTTAATTTTGATACTTTGAATTTAAATGATTCTCCTTCTCCATCTAGCAACTTAAATGCATCTTATTTCAAACCTTCTTTATCAAAGGAATAGAAGTATGTAGATGCTCATCCTAAGAAGCTAATTATAGGAGACACATCGAAAGGGGTTCAAACTCATTCTTCTCTTAAAAATTTTTGTGCCAACGTCACTTTTCTCTCCCAAATTAAACCTAAATGCATTGATGAGGCCATGAAAGATGATTCATGGGTCATTGCAATACAAGAAGAATTGAATCAATTTGAGAGAAATAAGGTGTGGAAGCATGTTCTAAGGCCAAATGATCATTTAGTTATTTATACTAAATGAGTCTTTAGAAACAAGCAAGATGAATTTGGTATCATGGTTAGAAACAATGCTAGATTAGTGGACAAAGGTTTCAGCTAAGAAGAATGTATCGATTATGAAGAAACCTTTGCTCTTGTGGCTTGATTAGAAGCTATAAGGATGCTCCTTGTCTATGCTGGTAGTCATAATTTTAAGTTGTTTCAAATGGATGTTAAAAGTACTTTTCTTAATGGCTTTATTTCCAAAGAAGTTTATTTTGAACAACCTTCTGGATTTGATAATGATAAGTTCCCTAATCATATGTGTAAATTGACTAAAGCTCTCTATGGTTTAAAACAAGCCCCAAGGGCTTGGTACGAGAGACTTAGTTCATTTCTTATTGAAAATAATTTCTCTAAAGGTAAGATCGATACTATATTGTTTATCAATAATTTTAAAAATAAGCCTCAAGGGCTTGGTATGAGAGACTTAGCTCTTTTCTTATTCTAAATAATTTCTAGCAAGGTTGACATTATATTGTTTATCAAAAATTTTAAAAATAATTTTTTTATTATTTAAATTTATATTGATGACATTATTTTTTGCTCTACAAATGAATCCTTATGTGAATCATTTGCCAAAAGCATGAGTCTAAAGTTTGAAATGAGCCTAATGGGGGAACTAACCTTCTTTTTAGGCTTACAAATCAAACAACTTAATGATGGTATTTTTATTGGTCAAACAAAATATGCATTAGACTTACTAAAATGGTTTAATATAGATAGTTCAAAGCCATCAATACTCCTATGAGTACCTCCACTAAGTTAGACATTAACGAAGGTGGAGAAAGCTTTGATCAAAATGCCTATAGGGGTATGATAGGTAGTTTGTTATACCTCATCGCAACTAGACCGGATATCATATTTAGTGTAGGACTTTGTGCTAGATTTCAATCTAACCCCAAGTAATCTCATTTAAAAGCTGTCAAAAGGATTTTTAGATACCTAAATGGAACTCCCAAATTGGATTATAGTATCCAAAATCAAAAAATTTTGAATTGCTTGGTTACACCGATGCTGATTTTGCTAGGTGCCGAATAGATAAAAAAAAACACATCTGGAATGTGTCAATTTTTAGGACACACACTTGTCTCTTGGTCCTCCAAGAAATAAAATTCGATTGCACTATCCATAACTGAAGCCGAATATATTACGACAAATGCATGTTGTGCACAAGTTGTATGGATAAAAAATACATTAGAAGATTATAAAATATTTCTTCAGAATATTCCTATAAAATATGATAATACAAGTGCGATATGTTTAACAAAAAATCCTATTCAACACTCTATAACTAAACACATTGACATTAGACATCACTTCATACGAGATCTTGTTAATAATCATGATATAATATTAGAGATTATTTATACGAAACATCAATTAGCCGATATCTTTACAAAACCCTCAAGTGAAGAACAATTTAATTTCATTAGAAGGGAATTAGGGATGTTAAATTATCCGAATGCATGAATTTATTTTTCCAGACTTTCTTGATTTTTTTTTTACAAAATCTCTCACCTGAATCATGATCTTATAGTGTACGCAATGAGCCACATGTATTTTTCCATACAAGTCTTTATAATGCTTCCATATAAATTTTATATGATGAATCATGAACTTATGGTATATATTTTTCAATACGAGTTCTACATAATGTTTAAGTATGGTATGCATTTTATATAATGAATGATGAATGTACAATCTTCAATACGAATTTTCTTCTCTTATAATATGAATTTTAAATGATGATGTAAATAAGGTTGTGTGGTTCACAACAATAAAAATCACTAGTATCAGACAGCACCACATAACTATATGAGCAGTGCTCATTGCCTGTAGGTGGTGGCACCGCCCAGCTGGCGGTAGCATTGCTCAACTAGCGATGCCACTGCCCGCAACCTGCCCTTTATAAACATCAAGTTAGGATCGGTGGTATAACCGACCCTAACATATTTTGCACTCCTCCAAATAACACCAAACCTCTT